CTGGCGCGCCAAATCAACCTGTCTTGTTCCTTTCTCTAACTCTTGGATGATCTTGTACTTCACCTCGTAGCTTAAGGAACGTCGTGTCTTCTTGGGCTTAGGGCGGCTGGGTCCAGGCAAGGAAAGGTTTCTCTCTGGGGGTGGTGGTCCGGCGGAAGCCATTTTACAGAACAATGGATGCACGATCACACGGTGTGGCCTGGAGGGATGAAACTGCTGCGGCTAGGTCAAGCGTCATCTTTCTTTCCTCCCTCCCTCCCTCCCCCGGGGTGGACACGTCATATTACTTTAAACCAATTACAGCTAGCAGCGGAGGGAGGTAGGGATGCATGGCCAATCACAGTCCGATACATCATATGACGTCAGTGATAACGCAACAGAGACATGCACTGCGCAACCTTACCACGCGGCTTGGCCAGGCGGAGGCGGAGGAGGGAGGAGGCGGGAGCAGGTGGGTGGGGCGAATCTAAAAATAGCATCGAGCCGGACACTCTCCGCATAAAGGGGTACACGCACCGTGGAATGTGAGCATCCTGGGTTCCGGCAGGGCACCGCGTAAACGTGGAAACGCGGAATGTGGGACCGCGTAAAGTGAGGGTTGACTGTATTATTTTTGAATTTTCGACTTACGACCTGGTTGTCGGTCTGGAACCCCGTCTTAAGTCGAGGACTGACTGTACTGTACTTAGAAATGTTAAAATTTTGATTGAGGAAGATAAAATGGAAAAGTACCATTGTTTTGTTTTGTTTTCCCTCGGAAGGTGTCCCTCATACTTCGTAAAATCTCATAATTCATAAGGGTAAGAGGCCCTACTATTTTGAATTTTGGAGGTTTTAGTATAATGATAATACTATGTAGAGCTTTTAAATGTACAATCCATCTGGTGAGGCAGGGAAGTCTTATGCCAAAATAGTGTTTTTCATAGCTTTCTGCAGCTTATGAAATTCAGCATCCATCCTTAGATTTTTTTTAAATAATTATTTTGCAATCTCATATGCCGTATCATTAAATGTATTTTCCATTACTTTGCATCTTCTGATGGTGTTTGCATAAGTAAGGTTTAATATATGGTCATAACAATGTGCATATAAAGAACAAACCTCTTCAATCTTTAGGTCACTGCCAACCCATTCTAAGCTCCAATCATCACAGAATGCCCACTGTCATGGGAACATCAAGGTTCACCCTTCATTATTCCCATTTTCTTCACAGATTGTTCTATGATGAGTTAACACCATTTAAGATTTAATCCCCTTGCCCCATCACTGTTTAACAAGTCATAATCTCTGGCTACCCTTTATTTCAGCATAACTCTTCCCCCTAGTTTAGGGATCCTATTCATCTTGGGATGATTAATTCAACAAGTATCTTCCTGGTGAGACTAAATTTGAACCAATGGGCAGTGGGGATATTAAATGGTGGCATCTTTGTTTTCCCTCGCCTTTTGAATAAAGTTAAGATAACATATATTTATAGTGTTTATTGGTTTTATTAAAATAACATTGACGATCACATTCTAGATAATATTTTTTAAGGAATAGTCTCAAGGACATTTCTTTGGTTATTTAGATAACATAAATTATGTATTATGATACATTGAGGGTAAAGACACTACCCCATGTGACCCCTGATCATGTTGGGTCGCTCTCTCTTTCCATCGACCACCACTGAGGGCGAGCCTTACTCTCTCCTTCTCTGCCATTTTACTACTGGCTCTTGTGAAAAGCCATGTCAATTAGTGCTGTCTTTTGTCTAAGGTAGGATGGTGGCCTCCAGTATTCAGGAAGGCTCCCCAATTACATACGATTGATTGTTGTTCCCTTTTTATTTTAACGGTTTACCTTTGTTTATTTGGCTAGATTTGAGAATTCCCATTGTGTTCCAAGGAGGTGGTTCTCACTCCTTTTTATCTGGCTGGTTATTCAGGCATAACACCATCAAAGTAATAACCTTTATTTTTGTTGATTAAGAGTGTCATCCATAGAATTATTTCTTTCAGAACTGACATGATGGTATGGGAATTGGTATGTCCATTTGGTGAAGACATATAAATTCTTTATCTGACAGTAGCTTGTCATCAACCCATACTAAGACTTGTTCTCTGTTGAGTATATCTGTCATTCATCAGCCATTAGGTTAAAAGACTGGCTTTTGTATAAACTTGCAGGAAAGCTTGAAGATTTGGAATCTCATGATCTGTAACAGTTAATCCTGATTATCTGCACATGTACAGCACATGATAATAGTTTGTTTGCTTTTCCCATCCATTTCTCTAGACATGTCTTTACCTTCCCCTCCAACTCTATACAGGCTACTCATATTGGCTGTATTTCAACTAGTAATTAAACTAAATAAAACTGGATTCTAAGGTGCTTGGGCATGCCAAATCTAAATTCAATAAAAAAAATTGCCACAAGTACGTAGAAACTATAATAGTATTACCCCGCTTTGCGTGGTTTCACTTTCAGGGATTTCTCATTTAACACGGTACCTCGCCAGAACCGGACTTTCACTTTTCACTTTCCGCAGTGCATCTACTCATATACTGTACGCGGGTGAAGTATAATTTTTTATTGATCTCATAAAATTCATACAAATTACCCGGTCAGATAATAATTTACATTGCTGGAATTCTTACAATTTGATGATCATTTTGAATATAAACATCATGGATTTTGCATTAGACATACAAATTTTAGATCTAATGTAATAATTTGGTTTACACAAAGCAAATATTTCATCTTTTGTGCAAAATATATGAAGTTTACATTCAAAATATTCCCTGACCTGCAAAGAATCCAGAAATGTCAATTATATTATCCTAACTTTAGTCTGAGATATTATTTATTACTATACAGTGACCCCTCGTTTAACGAACGCCTCGGTTAACGAAATTTCGGTTAACGAACTGCCTTCCATAAGGATCTTCAATTCGGTTAACGAAAAAAAATTCGGTTAACAAATTTCTTACGAACCGACCTCAACATGTTTTCGCTTGCACTGGCCGGGCAACCAGCTTTAGTATCAGTCCACCAATACAGTAATCGGTTTTAGGGCTTAAATTCCTTACTACAGTACTGTATTTTAGTAAATATCAAGAAGTTTATACTATCCAATAGTTTTAAAAGTTTAATATTAACTTTTTTAGTCATTTTAACAATTATTGAGCATAATTGAAGGTAAAGAAACTAGTTTCTGGCATGCCATCCAGCCTGTTAGCACACCAGACAGGCGTTAGTCTCTCTCTGTTTTCACTGGAGGTAACATCTTGCTTGAGACTCTCTTCAACTAATCGCTTTTTTTCTGTGTTTCCAAGCAAATTATTGGTCATTTTGAAATATATTTTATATATTGACAATATATAATGCAGTGCAGTGTTGATTTAAAGAAAATAATCTTGAAATACACCAAGAGAACTAAAATTGTATGGGTGAAATGGTGCCATGGGGTGACTTCTCTTCCACCCCAATGCCTTCTCTTCTTCCTTCTCCTCCACCCCCATTCTAATTCCCATCATCATCATCATCATCATCATCAGGAGCCTTCTACATACACACCTCAAAGTAAGTGAACTTTTCTACCATTTTGTTGAATTTAGGAAATTTTCGGTGAGCTGGAACCAATTACCCAAAAACCCATTGAAACAATGGTTTCGGTTAACGAACTTTTCAGTTAAAGAACGACCTTCTGGAGCGGATTGAGTTCGTTAACCGGTCACTATACGTTAAAATCTAGTGTTTTCACCCAAAGATTTCTCAGAGAGGTAGGAGCCAGTGAGCTGGGAAGAGGGGTGGGGGGGGAGTTGAGTCCATTATTTGAATGGACATTAACCTGGCGACTGTATTTCTCTTAAATATTAATTGTGTGTGCATACCATCATAAAATTAAGATGTTATTTTTACTACAACATAGGTATTGTGTCGGAAAAAGTGGAGTTTGGGGGTCGGGCCAGTCTCAATTGGAATTAATCCCATATGTTCTGTTGTTCACTTTACACGGTTTTCACTTTCTGCGGTACCCCCGTGGGTTCAATTGGCCGCGTAAATCAGGGTACTGCTGTACAGTATAACTTAACCCCATCACCTGCTACTGTGATAAACCAATGTCGCAGGCCTTATGCATCCCAAATTTCAGTGTGGCTAAGGTGACACTGAATATCAGATGTAGATTCAGCTTGGAATGGTAAAATAAGGGATGAGACAAGTTAGGCGATGAATATGCTTCATCGCGAGATTCCTGAAATGACTCGGTAATATAATTATAGCCTGTGTGAAATAATATTAATTATTATTATTAATTTTATATTACTATTAATTTATATTACTATTAATATTACTGTAATCATTATCATTACACTTAGTATTCCAATAATTAATCCATAGCTTTCCTATTTTTTTCTAAATCCTGAGAAATTTCCTCTGAGCTTCTAAATTTCTTGATAGAAGGAAAATTCCTTAAAAGTGGAAAAACCAGGAAATATTTAGCTGAGCCATATGGTTTACACCCTTTGGCTTAGTTGAATATTGGTCAAACCAAAGCTTGACTGGCCTCACTTCTTCTAATGGCCCTGCTAAGAAAGAAGTGACACCAGTATTTCAAATGATATTAAGTGAGGTTTTGTGGCTTTGTTGCAGCTCAGCATTAGTAAAAATCTAACCTATACTTCCCATTACAGTAACCAATTTTATGAACACAGCAAATGACATCAGCTACAAAATTTAATACACAGAGGTCCCAAAACACACCACAAACTGTATAAAGCACAATTATAAATTGCTGCAATATGCTTCAATAATGTATATTTTTTTAATTATCCAAAGTAAACTAACACAAAGTACATTTGCTACAGAAACTATCTGCAAGGTGGGGTCCGATGGATGTCAAAATGAACATTGTGACTCCTGTTGTTCGGTAGGGTTGTCAAAATCCTTCGTCTGGTGTGTCATATTGTCTAGCAAAAAATTTTGCAGATACTTTTTATAGTGAGTGTATATCATACCTGCGTTGTGCGGCAGCCAGTAGCAATGACTTTAGGAGAAGCACATCTTGTAAGGTCAAAGAAGAGAAGTACTGATTTGTTCTGAAGTTCTCCTCTACCACAGACTCGACCCATACTGTCAGTCGGGTTTAAGAGACGGGAGGGATCCCCATGAAATACCGCTGTTGATGAGGGAGAATGTTTATAATTAATATCATTAAGAGTGGAGCTTGCCCTTTATCCATAAGACGTCTCGTATTTCCAAATGTATAAGAGTACCTTGTACTGGACAGAGAGACCCAGTACTGTACCTGAAGAACCTCTGATCTTAATGCCACTTACTACATATCATCATCTTCTCCTATACACTAACAACTCTCCCATGCACTTAATCACTCCCGTTCTCCTTCCCCTACATTTCAGCAAGGTACATAGGAGAGGTAGTACCATATCGGCTTGGTGAAAATCCTAGTTAGCAACTGTTTTTACTTGACCCCACCTCTTTGGTTCTCTGGCTTCCAGCATACATAAGTATTATTATGAGATCTTTTTTCTGATACAAATTTACAGGAAGAAATTTAATAAATTGGACTTTTTATGCATAAATACATAATATACAGTACTGTATTATGAAATATACAATAAATGTACAGTACAGTATAGTCTGGATTTACACGGTTTTTGTTTACGCGTTTGGTCATTTACGCGGTGCCTTGCCAGAATGAAATGTTTTAATTACGCGGTAAATTTCATCATTTACGCGGCGAGCGGCTGGAGAGGTCCAGACCGCCGCGCCATTTTTTACTCACGCGGTCCATTCTTGACCATACGCGGGAAGCGGACCGGTGAGTGGTGCGCATTAGGCTGCTCCTACGTTATCGCTGACGTCATATGACGTATCGGACTGTGATTGGGCCACGCATCCTTACCACCCACGCATTCCCTCTGCCGCTAGCTGTGATTGGTCTAATGTAACATGACGTGCCTTGCCACCAGAGGGTAGAAGTCGCTGACCTAGCCGGGCCTGTCTCATTGTTCTCAGTCCGCGTATACAGTTCTCTCTTGTGCCCGCTATTCCCCTCACAATGGCTTCCGCTGGACCCCCACCACCCGAGAAAAACCTGGAATTACCTGGACCAAGCCATGATTGTGTGAAGGAAATCATCGAGTTGGGGGAGAAAATTAAGCTCATCCTTGACAACGACCCAGACAAGCATCGGTATGAAGTGTCTAATAACCTTCTGTCGAAAGTTGTGGAGCCGTATATCCAGATCTATCTCGACAACATCAATGCTAGTCGTCAACGTAGTATTGAGGACTTCCTCGCCCGCAACCCACCACAACCACAGCCAGCCTAAGTCAGTGATAGTGATATTGACAGTGAGGATATGGACTTTGAGGGGTTTGTCTGGGAGGCCCTGCAAACCTCTGCGAGTAGTGAAAGTGATTCACCGGAGGGCAACTAATCTGTCCTCTGCCTCGGAACCAGCCGCCATCCACGTGTGCCGACCCAGCTTTTCTACTAACGTAAGTGTTAAAAAACCTAATGTTATTGATATTTCTCTTAATTATTAATTGTGTGTGCATACCATCATAAAATTAAGATGTTATTTTTACTACAACGTACGTATTGTGTCGGAAAAAGTAGAGTTTGGGGGTCGGCCCAGTCTCTATTTCAATTACTAATCCCATATGTTCTGTTATTTCGTTTACGCGTTTCTCGTTTTACGCGGATCTCCACGGGTTCAATTGACCGCGTAAATGCAGACTATACAGGTAGTTCTGCTATAACGCGATAATTGTGTTCTTGTAAAATATCGTGTTATAGAAAATCGCGTAATAGAAATAACAGGGCTTATGGAGAAAATAGGATTAGGTGCAGATTACTCGAAATCGAAAAAATTTAGTAGTTAGCCTAACACAAAGGATAGCACAGTCTAAATAAATGTTACATTCATATCTAATAATGAAATCATACAGTAAATGTAACACTTTACCTTGAAAAAATATGAATGTAACTTGATGGGGGAGAAGGGTGATTTTGAGGTTGATAACATCGAGCTTCTCTTCAAGTGTTATATCCTTTCTTTTACGATAATCACCGGGAATTCTATCATCAGAACGCTTTTTGGAGATATTCTTCTTTACCATAATCACAGTTAATACCACATAATTGGAGAAATAGTAAGCAAAAATCACGTTATAGCAAACAGGCGTTCGCGTTATACAAATATTGTTCCGAATTCATAAATCGCGTTAGAGCAAATTCGCGTTATCAAAACACGCGTTATAGCAGAACTCACTGTACTGTATATGAAAACAATCAAATTTGTGAGGATCTTTTTCTGACAATGTAAAGTCAAGATTGCCTTGTAAGTAAAGGATAAAATACTTATGAGTATAAAATTTAGGACTTAGAACAGTATAAAAAAAATGGACAAAATCTAAAGGTATAAATAAAAATATATTAAAATATCCTGATCACTTTAAGAATCACACTTTTACAGTTGACAAAATGAAAGGGCAGAGTCTAGCGATGTATCCATAGCTTACCCAATGAGCATGCTGAATGAGGAGGCGATGAGTGATTAATTTTTTTTATTCAGTATCAGTGGCTCCAATTGCAATAAAATGAGATATCTATACTGTACCTGTACTATCTTTTACGCCAATACAGCATGTTATACCAAAAGAAAACTTCAACAAAAGCTCAGAATTTTTTGCCCCGATTACTACAGAGCCTTATGAGAGTGGTGCTACCTCGCCTTCTATGTAACTTGTATTTCAGTTCCCAATATTACTCTGTATTAGTGGTGGGCATATTAATACCAAACTATCGATACCTCTGATACCAGCTATATACAATACTTGTAAGTATCAATACCAATTGCTAGGTATCGAGTATTTTGAGAACATTAGCAGCCAGATAATAAGTGGAGTGATTATACAATTACATGTACTCGTATATTTATGTGAGTCAATATTGAGCATCGGGCAACATAGTCCTGTGCACTGACCAGCCGGTAAGATTAGTATTAATGGACTTTCATTTCATCATTAATTTGAAGAACAAAGAAATGGAAGGCTGAAAGAGGTGATTCTAATTTATTAGTAATATTGATATACTGTACTATAAATAACAATGCATTTCCCATAAAACTAAAACTTAAATGATTTTGCATAGTGTACTGTATTGTACTTAGTTGCCAAGTTTTTGGTTGTGTCCAAGACAAAAATGAACATAATCTAGTGCAAACATGATTAATTTTCAATAGCTGCATTAGAAATTAGTTTGCTTGTTTTCCTTTGAAACGTAATTTTTTTTTTAAGTAAAGAAAAATATTTTAAACTGGATAACATTCCATATGATCTTAAAAAATATATATATTATACAGGGGTATTTGGGGAAAAGTAGCTTTTATGTCTAATATTTTAAGAGAATCATTTTTTTTTGAATAACTAAGTCTAATTTACCTTTTCTTTTTTATCTTTATAATTAAGAGGGTCTCAAAATTTAATAAAATAAAAACAGTAAATACATTTCCCTTTCCAGTGGAGTACAGTAAACCCTTGTTATTAGCGGGTTAGGTTCCAAGGAATGGCGCGAATAGGTAAAACCGCGAATAGCAACTTATACTACCTTAGTGCACTACTGTACAGTATACCTATACCAAACAACCAACCAGCTGTGGCAGCACTCATCCCCTCTTTTAACTTATCTAATAATTCAACTTTCTTTGTCAGGGTCATCACTGACTTCTGCCTTTTACATTCACTCCACTAGCATCACTAGCAATGACACTAGGCAGTCTTTTAGGGGCCATTTCACACAGAAACACTAAAGTTTTGAAAGTACAACATGAGATGCTGCGTCACAGGCAATGGCAGAGCGCGATCAGAGGGAGAGGAGACGCTGTGGGCGCGTGGGGTGAATCGTTGCACTGCAGGAAAAGGCTCGCAAGCTAGCCACCAGCTGCTTACTGCAAATCGTCGAAATCACGAATCGCAAACCCGTGAATGCCAAGGGTCTACTGTACTCAAAACAAACGATATTGAGCACACCAGTATTTGGTGTCAGTGCTGTACTTAATACCATCGATACTGGCCAAGCAAATACTTGGTATCATATTGAAACAAAATCACTGGCATCGCTCCCCCCTCCTTCACCTTCCCCGCAGCATTAAGGGAAATGTGTACCATCACATTTATGTGATATACCCTGTACTCTGGGGCTTTGAATATTTTTTTTTCAATTACTGTACTCCCTCAATATATTATAACATGTCAGATAATTAAGAATATTAATTTTAAATGCAGTACTGTAACAGTAAATAACATTGGATTAATATGCACTTTTTTACTAGTGAGCAGTATTATACCTAACAAATATACAAAACCAACTTGCAGGTGTGAACTCACCAAATCCTGTCACTACTCCCCATCCTGCCAAAAATGCCACGAATAGAAGCAGGCATAATATATCTGTACATGACCTGTTCTTAATGGGTCCACTGAATTCTGGATCATATTGGAGTGCTTCACCTGTAGAAAAGAAAATATATTGTTTATCACTTTGTTACTTTATCATTTTAATTAAAAATACTGTACAGGTATACTGTATTGTACAGAGAATTGTACATGAGAATTCTTTTGTACATCTTTACTTAAATGAACCTATGGTACATGTACGAGTATACAGTATTTTCTCTTTTCTAAGACTAAAAAGTAAATGTTTTCCTATTTTCTAAATCAACCTATATTTCCTCTTTTTGAAATTAACATATTAAAAGACAGAGTGTGAGCTGGCAATTTTCTGTTTGTAGTCCATCACATTAAGCATATGAAAAATGTAGAAACATTTCTGATATCTTGGATGCTCCACTGAAAAACTATGGTAATATGACAAAAACATCATTCACACAAACTGCATCACCCAGTACAGTGCAGTACAGTACAGAACAGTACATGATAAACTACAAGATTGTCAGTCTGTCAAATTTTATGACCAATTACTGTAGTATGTTTTAAACTTTTCTGGATGTATGAACAAATCTACAGACAAAAGGGGTAAAACTTTTATACTGCATTCTTAATTCTGCTAGAACTTTAAAAGGAAATATTTTGATGAAAATTAAAATATTTCTTTTTCTATTCAGGATTATGAAACAACACTACAAACTAAATAATGTAATCTCAATTGCTCGAGTAAAGTGAGGGCCTTGACAACTCTTCAGACATGACATGATAAGGCAAAAACTTCAAGCTCGCCAAGTTGTCATGCAAGAAAAATAGCAGTACCGGGTAAATCACAATCTTATTTATATTAAATCAAACTGGGCACGACCACTGCCTCCACCCCCCTCTAAATGCCAACTATGGCACTATCAGAAGGCAAACTAGCAATCCTTGCGAGAATTCTTCAACTTTCCCTGGGATGAATGTTGCTTTTCCACTTGGGACACCTCGGTATGTGTTGACAGCATTGCTGGGATTATACAGGGTGGTATGAGTGCATTTATGTCCATTTTCTACCAAAACTTTCACTTTACAATCATGTAAGGAGAGAGATATAGGGCATATCAAGTTATGAAACTATCTCCTTCTTCTGTTACCCACACCTCTTTCATTACTTCTAGGAATCGTTGTAAGGCTATTCTTCGTAGGGCCAAACGGAATTTTATAAAAAGAAAGACTGATGACCTGACTAACTCTTCTTCTAGTAAATCCTTCTGGTCCTTAATCAAAAACATCTGTAATAACTTTGCACTCTCTCTTTTCCTCCTCTCTTTCGACCTGATAACTCTATAGCCAACTCTCCCTCTGATAAAGCTAATCTCTTTGGCACCTTATTCTCCTCTAACTCCACCTTAGACAATTCCAACTCTACCCCTCCTACCCCTGGTCTTCCTACTGAGCCTATGCACTCTCCTATAATCTCCACTCGTAGGGTTGCTGGTGTGTTATCCAGATTGGATGTGAGTAAGGCGCATGAACCGGAAGGAATATCCCCTCGTGTTCTGAGGGAGTGTGCCGATGCTCTGGCCCTGTGCTTGCTCGCCTCTTTCGCCTTTGCCTCAAAACCCAAACTTTTCCTTCTTCTTGGAAGCATGCCTCGGTTCAGCCCATCCCAAAGAAAGGTAACAATTCCAAGCCCTCTAACTATCATCCTATGGTCCTCACTTCATCCCTCTCTAAGATTTTCGAAACTATCCTAAACTCTCATTTTCTCCGTTACCTTGAACACCTTCCTCTTTTGTCAGATCACCAGTATGGCTTTCGCCAGGCGAGATCTACTGGTGATCTGCTCTCCTACTGTACCCATCTTTGGTCATCCTCTCTTGGGGATTATGGGGAACTTTCATCGTGGCCTTCGACATCTCAAAGCATTTGACAAGGCATTTCCCCCTAATTCTTAAACTAGATCTGTTTCTAGAGCTGATATCATTTCATCTATAAATGCGAATCTGTGCAGCATCTCTGAATCGGGAGGTAGAAACTTGGTTAAATTCAATAGTAATAAAATACAGTATTTACCAATTACACTTTCCAAATTAGATGATCGCCCACCAATCACATTTCAGGACACAATCATTCTGCCAAATTCTAAAATAGATACCTATGCTAGGCCTCACCATTTCCTCTAATATGTCATGGAAGCCACACATCCACAACATTGTCAAAGCTGCCTCCCAAAAGCTTGGAATGCTGCACAGATGCCACAGCTACTTCATTCCTGATCAGTTGCTTCAAGTTTATAAAGGATTCGTTCGTCCTTACTTGGAGTACTGCTCTCATATCTAGGGTGGCTCTTCTGCCCACCTATTAGATAGGGTGGAATCAAAGGTATTTCATCTTATTAACTTTCCTCTTTTAGTTGATAATCTCTCTTCCCTTTCTCTTTGCAGCAATGTTGCTTCACTCTCTCTCTTTTTCAGGTACTCTAACAAGCAGTGTTCAGTGGATTTGGCATCCTGCGTACCGCCGGCAAGACCGTGAGCTCGTAACACTCGTCTTGCCCGCCGTGCCCAGCGTTTAAGTGTGGATGTCGGTCACACTAGAATAACCTGTTATAGCACATCCTTCTTTCCTCACACATTCTAATCTGTGGAATGCTCTGCCTTCTTCTGTGCTTCCATACTCTTACAATCTGTCTCCCTTCAAAAAGCTGGTTCATCTCCGTGGTGTAGATTAATGCAGTCTTTTGCTCTTCTATTTTTTATTTCTTTTTATAGTTAATCTTATTTTTTGCCCCCTAGGCCTTGTTGTGGGTCAATGACCTGTACCCGGGTGGGAGAATGAAGGGGGGGGGGGTGTGGAAATTGATTTTCTGGCATTTCTGCCGGAAATGTACATTTTTCGCATACATATTTTAAAAGATAAAATTACGAGCAGCAATATTACTTATTTTAAGTGGGAAGGGCTTTGAAGTAGTGGGAAAATGTGGGAAAAAAAAATATACAAACTTTTGAAAACCTGACCTAATGTTTCCTAACATTTAAAAATACGAAATCTATAAGAAGTTTACCTTACTCATGTTATCGGTGTTTAGTAGGTGATGGTGTTGTTTTCGATTTTTAGTATGTATTGGTGTTCAGATGAGGAGGGATCCATAAACTCAAGTGGTTCTTAATATTTTTACAAGTTAGGAAATATTAGGTAAGGTTTTCAAAGGTTTGTTTGGTGTTGTTTAAGTATTTTATCCCACATTTTCCCTCAACTTCAGAGACCTGCCCACTTTGAACTAATACCATATTATGGGTAATTATATATATATATATATATATATATATATATATATATATATATATATATATATATATATATATATATATATATATATATATATATATATATATATATATATATATATATATATATATACGTATACAGTATATTTATCAATTCTTCAGTGACTAAGCTTGTCTCTTATAAAAAGCCAGTGAAATGACCTGGGTGAATATAATTAACATTGCTGGGATTCTTGTAAGATGTTGATTAATTTAAATATAAACAACCTATAATTCGCACTAGACATAACAATTTTAGTACCGTAATCAAATTAGTACATGTGCACTCCAGCTTTGCACTGAAGTCATTTATTTCTTTTACGTTTCTTTTAGTATGGTGTGTGCATGTAAATGGATGAAAATAAATGAAGAAATTTATGTAAATCTACCCAAAAATACAGTTGAAAAACTTTATATTATAAAATGTACTACAGTATTGTACACTAATGTACTACAATTTTTATCTCTTGAGCAAAATATATTATGTTTATATTTAAATTAATCTCTGTCTTGCAAGGATTTCAGCAATGCAAATTATATTATCCTAACTTTAGTCTGAGATATTATATAAAATAAACATAAAGAAATCACCAATCTTTTGTCTGGGAGGGAGGGGGCGGGAGGTGAGGTGACAGAATGTCTGGCGTTTGTTTGTTTATTTATTTGAGATAAGATTTGACAGTTGGCGCTGAAGGCCTGCCTGCGTGTTTATTTATCATTACTTAAGAGTGACTAAGCTCTTCTCATAATTTGCCACCCAAACGACCTGGGTGAATATAACTTACATTGGAGGGATTCTTGTAAGATAGTAATTTATTTGAATACCTGTATAAACAAGCTATATTTGCAATAGACATAACAATTTTAGTACCGTAATCATTTAGTACATGTACAATACAGGTTTGCACTTAGGTCCATTGTTACTGTACAATATTGACTAAATTCACTAGATAACGTACGCCTGGCAGCACAATCTATAAGAATACGCGATGCATACGTGACTGTGCCCGCTCTAGGGCCATTTAGGTTCGCTAGGTCCCATTATTTGAATGTTTTTTTTTTCAATTTAAATTTTAATTGTTTATTCCTTGATAGAGGAAGTGGGATCCTAGTGCTGTCACTTGGTACCCCTGTACCATAACACCAGAAGCAACTGGCCAGTGTCACAAGTATATACAGTACAGTACAGTCATCCCTTGGTTATCGCGCCTAATTGGGACCCCGCCGATAACGAAAGTACAGAACCTATGGGATTTATTCTAATTGGTTCCAGACACCCAAGACCCAACCCCAAGTTTCCCATTTTACGACCATTTATACCCACTAAATATATATATAATGTTATGGTAAATATCATAAACACACATAGGCATGGCTAGGTTTATTACAAAGTGATGAAAAGGGTACGCTTAATACTGTAGTCCACAAAACATGTAGCCATGCTTTTTTTATTTTGTCCCCCATCATACGAGTCCGTTTTCTCTCACATCAGGACGCCTGAGTCCTACGTTTTCTCTCTTAATATTAGAGTGCACCAGAGACTTCACTATTCTTAGTAATGCCACAGAATTTGAAATTGCAACCCCAATTGCAACTGGGGGTGCAATTGTTGAGGCAACTAGATGTCTGATTACAGCAAATAAGTTATTGTCAATTTGTAGGTGAAAGATTTTATCCTCAATAGATGTCGGTTAACATTACACCTGGAGGCAACAAAAGCTTAGGAAGGAAGCATATTCCATTTAACACATAATACCTGACCAGAATGGGGAGGATCATCGTGTCTCCGTCAGGGGGTCGTGGAGTGGTGGTCCAGCAGGCGTCATGGATTTTTTTTTTATGGCACGGACGTATATCGGACGTTAACCGGCGCATGACTGTATTTGCTTCTCTAATGATACATTATGGTGAACTACAGTATGTGGATTGCGGATTCTACTCGTATACCACACAGTTGGCGACTGAACTATTTTGTTTTCATCAAGTTTATATTACAATAAATACGTGTCGCTCAATTCCTGATTGTTTTGGTTGCTAATTAATCCCTTCATTAATATGTCTACTGATCTATTTTATTCAGGTCACCGCCAGACGATTTTATTCAGCTGGGGAAGTTCACTCTCGCAGTCAAAGAGTTAAACAAAACTTCACTGCTTCTACAAGATTTAGATTCAAACATATTCATAATCCATTTGCTCATAAATGCCCCCTTTTGTAAAGGAACAACTTAGAACATGAATTCATCCCCTCTCTCATCCTATGGCAACTTTTGTATTTTCATCTGGCTAGTGCTAGATGATTACGCTCAGCTAAGAAAACCCTGTCAGTATTGTCAAAGCATTGTTATCCTGTATGGTAATCTCTCCCAACTGATATACACTTTCTGACCTCAATATCAATACTCCCAGTATCCCATCTCCCTTCCTCACAGAAAGATGACCCTTCCCCTCTCCCTCCCGCTTACTAGTGAATGCTTCAAATTCAGACTTCCGAGTTCGGGGTTCACACCTCAGGGAAAGAGAGGATTGGCAATGCTAGGTGGTAAATGTAGGAGTGAGTCCAATTGTACTGATCTTCCTGGTGAACTGTACAGTATGTTGTTCAGAGATCCACACTACTGTGAAATTAGGCAGGTCTCTTTACACCCGTTGCCTCTGTTCACCTAGCAGTGAGGAGCAGCCTGGTTGTAAGCCGGCTGTTGTGGGTTGCATCCTGGGGAATGGTGTAATGCAATAACATCTGAGGAACACCTCCCAAAGAAGCAGGACTTGTGTCTTTCAAGCAATTAGGACAGGTCCTACCTGGGCATAAGCCCAGGCTTAAGAATCCACAGAGAACAAAGAAACTGTCCCTACTCTTACCAGTGTGTCTACATCCTCCAAAGTAAACAAGGAGTGGAGGATCATGAGAGATAACATCGTCATATTCGTTTAGCAGATGAGTTTGAGTATGAAACTCTGTTGGCAGGTTTTGGGACAAGAGAGGGTGTAGGTGGATTGTTTTGGAGTGGATTCCTCCCCTACAAGCACCGAACCTTCTCGAATGCCCCAGCCTACGCCTCCAGCGCCGCCTACGGAGCGGGGGTCAACTATCAACCCACGCCTACCCCCGCCTTATAAGGCCTGACACCGCTGTGACCACTCTTTTCTACCCAGTGCCACCAGCAAGCAACACCACCACCTCCTCCACGCCAGCCTGGCGGCTCCCACCGGCGACCTAGGCGTCCCTCAAGCCGCGTGCCCTCACTCTGGGCACCCTCACCACCCAGCTCTCTCTACTCAACGCTTATTACCATGCTACCTACCCAGCAACAAGCTGCATTGTACATCCAATACAATATGTATACAGTGAGCACATTGTGAGTTTCCTTTCTCCATCCCATCCTGAGTGTGAACCAATATCTCAACCCCACAGTTTCCACCGTAGGGAGTGGTCCTGGGTATATGGAGCCAGGCTAGGAAAACGGGATCACCACTCTTAAGTCATTCAGTTTTCTTAATTAATACTTTAAGTTCTAATAATAAAATGCCTCAGTGTACTGTATGATATATTATACTGTATATTTTAGGCAATGCGTGTGTGTGTACTAGGCAAGAGGAAGGGTGTTCCCTGAGGGTGTGTGGTGGTCAGAGTAAGGTGCGTGTGTCCTCTCTTTAACAAGGGGCTGGGACAGAGGTTGAGTGGCCACATTTACAATATACCCACGGTATTTTGACCATGAGTATACCTTCACCTTCCCCACAACCACAGTGCTTTCTTGCGCTACCTGAACTCGCCTGAAAAATAACTAGATATGCATATGACCTTTGTTATAAAGTTAACATTGTTTTTAGTAAAATACACTATGTAGCAAGGATCACCTGATGATTGACCCCCCCCAGCTGATCACAAATAAATAAATAAATATATATATATATATATATATATATATATATATATATATATATATATATATATATATATATATATATATATATATATATATATATATATATATATATATATATATATATATATATATATATTCGAAAAGATCTAACGCAAGAACCTCTTGAAAATCGAGGCCCAGAGAGGGGCGAAAGCCAACCAACAGGCTCAATAATATTTACTTCCTGCTGGGTGTAACTCACAAGCTTCTCATTCAGCCAAGTGAGCCTCAACCTCTCTTGTATCGCCTATTTCATTAGATGCCTTGTTCCTTCTTTACACAGCTTCAATTACTCCTCTGCATTTACTTTCCGCCAAGGCATTGGCATGTAAACAAAGGAACAAAATGCACCCCTCTCTCTCTGCAATATAACCCTTTGGCAACCTTACTCGGAACAGTCTGGGCAACGATGCCTGAACCCACTATAATAAAGGAATATCACTCTTTACACAACAGTACAAGGTAGAGTAACAAAAATATATATATATATATATATATATATATATATATATATATATATATATATATATATATATATATATATATATATAATTTTCATTGGTTGGTGGAGTAGTTTAATTCCTAACCTGGCTGTACGCGTTTAAAGACCCTAGTTGTTGAAGAGCAGTACTATTACACCATCCACGACACAGTACAGTAAGAAAAACACAACTCCTTCACCGACACACAAACACACGCACTAACAAGCAAAGACAAACACACACACACACACACACGGTACTCACCTTTGTTCAGTCTTTGGTGTTTGTGAACTTTCTGACCCATGGTAACGGTGCATTAGTGTCCCACACCCAGGTACACCCTCACTCACACTCGTCTTCCAACAAAACTGGAGAACTTAACACTCGTCAACACAATACCTTGTTTTACGTCACCAGATTACTGGATAAATGTAGTAAGTCACTTCCTCCTGATTCCTTGTAAAGCACGTAGTCGTTCACACACCACCGGCCCTTTCCGCATCTAAACAATAATTTTGTCGGTGGATACAATATATCATTAAATTAATCTCGGGCTAAGTTTGAGCAATAAAGATAAAATGCACAATGAAGATTAGATTCGGAGGGGTGGCGCGCACCAGGGAGTTTAGCTGACTCCAGCACTATTCTAGGTGGTGGACAGAGAGCGACTGAGAGAGTGTGTTTGTGTGTGCCATGTGAGCACAAGAAGGGCCACTACGCTCCACTACATTAATAAGCTCACTGGAGAACACCAAGGTCACTCGACCACCAGCTCACGTCCGCCGTATTCCCATCAAAACGATTTGTTTTTTATAATTATCCCTCAGAAAAAAAACAGGAGTAAATGTTACCTATGATCCCAAATAAAAAAAAAAATATATATATATCTATATATATATCTACATATATACTACATATATATATATATATATATATATATATATATATATATATATATATATATATATATATATATATATATATAATATACAGTATATATAGTTCCCATCACAGTCATAGGCTTGTGGGCCGTGAGTTCGAATCTGGCAGGTTGAGGTGTTGATTGTATGTAGAAGTCCGCGTGCTTTATTGGGCTAATGAAATATATATATATATATATATATATATATATATATATATATATATATATATATATATATATATATATACACTCACCCCTGAAGATGTGAATTACACGAAAGCGCTTGGGAACTTCGTGTTTTCTTTTTCCTTGTGGTTATCAGCATATATAACTGGATCACGAGCACCTACAGTGATTTATTTGCATATATATATATATATATATATATATATATATATATATATATATATATATATATATATATATATATATATATATATATATATATATATATATATATATATTATTTTTTTTTACTTATATCAACAGTCCGCCTTACTCATTATATACAAGGCAGGCCCAGCTGGTCACTTGTTAAGGTAAATGAAGCACATGAACCACGAAATAACGGGATGGCGAGTCAGTCAGACAATAATTAAGTCAGGGCAGGCATTCACAGAGCTGGCTGACACATTTAAACCGATGGACTTTGGTAATCATATGGTTAATGTTGGGGAGACAAGCAGCAATATGCAGGTGTATACAAAGACAAACTTGTACAGGTGTATACAAAGACAAACTTGTACAGGTGTATACAAAGACAAACTTGTACAGGTGTATACAAAGACAAACTTGTACAGGTGTATACAAAGACAAACTTGTACAGGTGTATACAAAGACAAACTTGTACAGGTGTATACAAAGACAAACTTGTACAGGTGTATACAAAGACAAACTTGTACAGGTGTACGAAGACAAACTTGTACAGGTGTATACAAAGACAAACTTTTACAGGTGTATACAAAGACAAACTTGTACAGGTGTATACAAAGACAAACTTGTACAGGTGTATACAAAGACAAACTTGTACAGGTGTATACAAAGACAAACTTGTACAGGTGTATACAAAGACAAACTTGTACAGGTGTATACAAAAACAAACTTGTACAGGTGTACGAAGACAAACTTGTACAGGTGTATATGAAGACAAACTTGTACAAGTGTATACAAAGACAAACTTGTACAGGTGTATAAGAAGACAAACTTGTACAGGTGTATACAAAGACAAACTTGTACAGGTGTATACAAAGACAAACTTGCACAGGTGTATACGAAGACAAACTTGCACAGGTGTATATGAAGACAAACTTGTACAGGTGTATACAAAGACAAACTTGTACAGGTGTATACGAAGACAAACTTGCACAGGTGTATATGAAGACAAACTTGTACAGGTGTATACAAAGACAAACTTGTACAGGTGTATATGAAGACAAACTTGCACAGGTGTATATGAAGACAAACTTGTACAGGTGTATACAAAGACAAACTTGCACAGGTGTATACAAAGACAAACTTGTACAAGTATATACAAAGACAAACTTGTACAGGTGTATACAAAGACAAACTTGTACAGGTGTATACAAAGACAAACTTGTACAGGTGTATACAAAGACAAACTTGCACAGGTGTATACAAAGACAAACTTGTACAGGTGTATACAAAGACAAACTTGTACAAGTGTATACAAAGACAAACTTGTACAGGTGTATACGAAGACAAACTTGTACAGGTGTATAAGTACAAACTTTGTACAGGTGTATACGAAGACAAACTTGTACAGGTGTATATGAAGACAAAGTACAGGTGTATACAAGACAAACTTGTACAGGTGTATATGAAGACAAACTTGTACAGGTGTATACGAAGACAAACTTGTACAAGTGTATACAAAGACAAACTTGTACAGGTGTATACGAAGACAAACTTGTACAGGTGTATACAAAGACAAACTTGTACAGGTGTATACAAAGACAAACTTGTACAGGTGTATACAAAGACAAACTTGCACAGGTGTATATGAAGACAAACTTGTACAGGTGTATACAAAGACAAACTTGTACAGGTGTTTACCAAGACAAACTTGTACAGGTGTATATGAAGACAAACTTGTACAGGTGTATACAAAGACAAACTTGTACAGGTGTATACGAAGACAAACTTGTACAGGTGTATAAGAAGACAAACTTGTACAGGTGTATACAAAGACAAACTTGTACAGGTGTATACAAAGACAAACTTGTACAGGTGTATACAAAGACAAACTTGTACAGGTGTATACGTAGCCCAATTTGTGCCTATGTATAAGCCTAATTTGTGCAGGTGCATAGACGTTAATGAAGTGCATAATATATTTTTAGTGTCCATAAAATTCCTGTAACTGATCTGCAAATAATGTTTATTTTTCTCAAACAGAATATCACGATGAAAACTATCAAATTCACTTAATTTTCTCACACTTTAAAAATTAACATCTAACATTCCTTTGGTATACAAGGGGCAGACAATTCTACATCACTGCAGTTTCTTGGTTATGGAAACTATTCAGTATTACAAATTACAAAGCAACGTTGTTCGTTATTTAGTTTGCGTATCGCACGGCAAGTACTTAACAAAGTAGTGGACGCCCAACATCCCTCACCTGACGTGACAGTGGCATAATACCTGAATATTAACTACAGGTTCGCATGTTTATACGGTATATATGTCCCCACTGTGTATTGAATTTAGCCCTAAGTGCTTAGAGACAGTTGTGGTGAATGGAGCTGAAGCTAATACATGCTTGAACTTTTCTTCTAAGTCTCTCTACACCATAGTGTGTGTGTGTGTGTGTGTGTGTGTGTGTGTGTGTGTAGTAATAAATAAATAATGTTTTATCTCAAGAAACTGACAACTAAAATGAACGATGACACCAAATGTGTTGTGTAAGGTAGAATGGCTTATGTTAGATTGACAATTATCAACAAAGAAGGAAGAGCGGTGAGCACACTTCCTTTGGATGAGGCGTTTCCTTTTTCCAAAAAGTTCAAAAACAAGTTGCAATGACTAAGAGCTCAGTTGAAAGGAGAGTGAGAGCTAAAGGAGAGCTAGCCAAGTTCGATACTTCAGTCCCCCTCTCCATATGGCCTCAGAATTGGACTGAGCGAACCAAGGAACAACTGAAGAAACAGTCTTAGCAGATAAACAGATGCTGTACACACCTCCACCCTGGCGACAGTAATTTTGCTATAACTTTTAGCAGATTCAGAAGCATCTACCAGGGAGAAACAGTAATCATCCAAGGGGAAAAAAAAAGAACTCAGGAAAGGTGATGCAATCAGCACTTTCATAACCGGTGCTTTGAGGTAGAGGTGGCGCGGTAAGTTAGATAACATCTCGGAGAGTATGGCCAGTTGAACCTTCTGGCGGTAAAATTGTGTAATTAAACGCGAGGGAAGAGGTGAAACATTAATATACAGTGTTGGACGTCGGGTCATGACGGCGTGGAATAAGAGGGCTTCGGCGGAAAGCTTTCAAACACTCCTTATGAAGGACGTTGAGGTCCCCAAATTTTATAACCTCAGCTTGTGGATGAGAGGAAGTTATGGCTTCGTGGCAGGAGTTGACTCAAAGAATAAATTGCATTTCTTAAAGCAAGGACAACAATGGGTGAAACAGAAAAGCAGTGAAGGTTGATAGAAAGTTCACGGCTAAGTATGAAGTATGAGCTGCCCTGTAGCAAGAGGGGGCAGGTTACGGACATATGAAAAGAACAAGTGGAAACATTTTGAACAGCTGAACCACTACCAGAATAAGAAAAAAAATTATATAGGATAAGTTGTAGTCAACTGAGGCGACACTGGCAAAGACATTCAAAATAATGGTAAAGTGAAAGAAAAAAGAGGCAGGTCTTCATAATGTGCGAGAAACATGAGGAGTACCAGCACTGCCACAGTCCGATCCTTCCTTTCCCTAGTAGAAGAAACCAAATTGGGTCCCACAGTAGCTTGGTGTTGGTCGTGTGTGCCCCACCGAGTACTGCACGACCGTTGGTGACGATCTCAGACATCACTACTGTGTACATTATTCGATTATTTGTACCTTGATCCTAAAATTGGGGTTATAATAGTTATTTTTTTGAAGGATGAAGAATAGAAATACGTGTTATAACAAAAGATCAAACCACATTATAAATGTAAGAAAAAATAGGAGAATATTAATCCGTAAACTATAAGCATTAGCATAAGTCTACACACAGGAAAATTTACTGTACAGATAAAGGACAAATTAAATTCTTACTCTACATCTCACGTGAGGTACCGGGCAGTGGAGAATGGCCAGACCAATTTCCTCCCCTCCTTCACCACACCCTCAACCCACTACAACAAAATAACATTAATACATTCACATTAACTAAGGTACACCAAGTCGATTTTTTTTAAGAATTATATTTACTACCGAGTTGATATTGTGCAACAGATAAACTTTGTATATTGTGTTGAGTAAGAAATATCTTTACACACATCTTTACAGTGGTGAATCGTCAAAACCTTCATGATCAGTAGTTGTTACATGTTACAGCTACCTTGAATAACACTGCCACACACATGGAAAACCTCAGTGCTGTAGTCAATAGCGGACCCAGCGGTACACACAGCGCCAGCATCCCCCAGAATTACACAGGGCCGGCCACCACATATTCCTTGGGTGGCCATCATCCCCCAGGGTCACACAGGGCCACACACGCCACCCATTGTGCAGTATCACCTC